ATTAATTAAAACAGAAACAGGGTTTTAGTCAAAATTAAAATATAATATCCAAGTCGATATCTTAATTGTGCGTTTTTTAAAACCGATGAAAGGAATTTTGAAAGTTATTTTATAAAATAAATATAATACATTTCTTTTGTGAAAATAACATGACAATGAATTTACATTAAAAACATTAAGATCGATTTGAATCTACCTTTATTGATGTACCAGCTGAATACTTTTAGCCGTAGGTACGTACCTAATTTACGAAAAAAAATGCAAAAATACTAGACCTTGGAAATCCATTAGCAAGGTAATAAGCCTCTGAAATGCGCCCTTTGATTGAAACCTGGACGAAAAATTAAATGAACCTCAACTAAAACGTTAAAGTTTTAAATTGATTTAGGCAGATGGGCGGAGTGTATTATTAGCTGTGAACAACGCCAACCAGAAGGGTATTGATTAGCATTGCAAAACTTTCGAAGCTTTAATTAGATTTGCTCTGATTTCCATTAGCTGCGACTGAATTTTTCCCAAATTTAACTTAAGTAAAATATCTTCCTAATTGATGACCGCGCTCCAGGTTAATGGATTGCCAAAGTTGGATTTTTGCCAAATCAGCTATACAGAAAGAGTTAATTATCAAATTCGAGTTTAAGCTTTTTATATACAAAATTGGCTTAATACGCTGTAAAAACTTCTGCAGATTTAGAAAATTTGATGGATTTGCGTGTTAGAAACGGAAATATTTGACTAGATGTAATGAATAAGCGAGCAAGTAAAGCACTACTTTATGCGGATATATGCTAATCGAAAAATGTTTCCCACAAAACTAGAAATTGGTATAAACTTATGATTCAAAATTTAATTTTCAACTTTTGTGGAACTATGAAAACTCAGCGATTATACCAATTTTACATCGCATAAGTTGTTCCATCAAACCTCTTACTTTTTGAACCCGGCAATTTTCCATGTTCGATTTTAACGCCGCCGCATCGGCAATATATTGAAGAATTATATGCCCCATTTGAGCAATTTGAAGCTACACGTTTAATTGGGGCGGCCAAGTGTGATACCGATGTTCAACGTGTTATTTGGTGGAAATATTGGAGTAACTTGGGATGAATATTTTCGGTCATCGGTCACAAGAATACGTTTTAGAGTGTCTCATGTCAAATGTTAAATTACATTGCTACTAATAAAATTTATATCTTTTTAGAAGTATTTTTATTCAAAACAACACTTTTGACCCTTAAATAATATTTTTTTTGTGTTGCAGGGCAGGATGCAGTTGCAGGATTTATTAAACAGGATGATTCAAAATTGGCGTCATTCCTCTGGAGGTGTTGTCTGGGAGTGTTTTAGGAGTACAGACAAAAATGTAAAAAAATAATTGTTATTAAAAACTGAGATATTTGCAAAAAAACTAGTTTAGAACAATTTTTGGGATGGTACCGTGGTACCAAAATTAAGTCGGGTAATACTTCGATAAGGTTTGCCAAACACGCATTTCTGTTCGTTAATTCATTTTTAAATGAAAATGATATTTTTTAACATTTTCGCATATAAACCGAATATTTTATTTAATCACTTTAGTTTTATTATTATCAGTTTTTTTGTTCTTTAGGTAGTAACCTCGGACCTATGTTTTGTTTTTGATTTTAGAATATTTTATTTTAAGTTTACCAATGTTAAGAATTATGTTTTTAATAAAGAAAATCATTATATATCCTCACTATTTCTACTATCATCATCATTCTGCATTTTTAATGAAAAATTTAAAAAGTAACATGTTCCTCTTGGAACCGCATTTTGAAACCTATTACCAAAGTGAAACTGAAACGCTGTAACCCGTTACAACAAAATAACCGTTTATCACACCTCTAGTTTTAATATTGTTCCCAAATCGCTCTATTGATACAATAATATGCGATATGTTGACAAGGTAAATTTATTATTTTTCGTTGCCGGGTTCTTTATGTAAAATATGTCTAAGTCAGTTTTAAAGTCCAAGTTCTCAAGTTTGAAAATTGTCTTACTCAACGCTGCCCAGTTCTTTGTGAAACAGGGAAGGTTGTAATGTATGCAGTTTCCACAACCGACAAATTAGGGTTTTCTTGATTATGTGCGATGAGATTAGCGTCTTCTAAATATGTTGTTTTGTTCAGCAATCCGGTACCAATAGGGCGCTTTTACAGTTCCATGTTCGCTCCATTTCTTTAACATTTTACAAATAGTGCTCTTCGGTTTTCCTAATCTCTCAGCTACTGCACTTGTTGACCATCCTTTCTCCATTAAAGTATTATTTTTAATTTTTTTAACTTCATTTGCATTTGGCCTTTTGATCATGTATTTGTCAGTATTATGTCATTTACTCACAGGTTGAGCGAGGTAGAAATTCAGATGTACACAATAACTATTTACTGCAGCTTGCAATTGACTACTACTAACTACATCAGTGGTTCATCAAGTGGAAGCTGAAGATAAATGCAGAGAAGAGTCAGGCCATACTTATTGGCAGGAAGCAGGACAGTGTCGATGGC